AAATTGACAAAAAAAAAAATCGGCCTAAGATATGAAAATACATATTTATGAACAATTGTTTCATACGGGCTGGACCACATTTGTACAATATGCGGTCCCGAGGTATTAAGCATCCATCTTAAAGGATGCAAACAGGTGGTCCATCTAAAAATAATTGTAACTAACTGCCCAAATGTTTTCTTAATATGATTATTATTTCTAGTTTTACAAAATTTATGTATTTTTTCATATTCATGATCTCCATGTTAAAGATTATATATTCTTTAAAAATTAAGATTGAATTTTATTTCAAAAATATATTTATTGCCAAGCCCACATTTTTACATGTGCGCGCTTGGCCGCATGTTAACCGCTTCGTATACTTATTCCAAACAAAAAGAAAGACTTTCACCTTTTTGTTTTGTTAACATTAACAGGGACTTTCACGTTAATTACCCTTTATAGTTTAGACACTAATATGACATATTTTTTTACTAATGAAATAGTTCACCCATGCAAATCGGTTGATTGTTTAACTATTTCCATTTTGATGGACACCAATACTCCTCACTTCATAACCTCCACATGATGCAATTTTAGTTAGTTGTCTGCAGCTCTCTGACAAAGAATTATACATGTAACCTGATAGCTGTATACATGTCTGCAGTTCACTTCATAACATTTAAAAAAAAAAAAATTTACAGAGACCTTATTATGGTGCATCTCAAAAATTCACTCGAAAACTTTATTCTTGATCTCAAAATATATGGATGTATATCAAAACAAAACAAAACAAAAAATTCATATCCTAAAAAATAGTGCAACTTGTAACATATTATCTAGACCAACCTTTTTCAAAAAATTTAAGTGTGCTTAAATCTACCCTTTCCAATTTTTTAAAATGTATTGATCTTCTTGATCTACACTACTTTTGGAGATTTAAATTTCTTAAACAGCGTGTAAATAGATTTTTAAGCCATTACAAGAATTTTTGGCACCAGAATTGTAACCCTTGGCAAAATTTAGAAGCAGGCCTTACTTTGATTGTTTTAAGGCTAACACCTTATACAAACTGCACCCTTTATATTATGGTGACCTGGATCCCTCCTGCTCCATGCCCCTAATTGGTGTAATCCTCTTCCATGACTTTAATTAGTTTGAGGCACTTATAGGGGGTAAGCAGTATACGAGGTCTTTATATATATTTTTGCTCAAATAGGGAGATTTCTCCAGAGAGTTGCTTTACTATACATTTAGGAGCTGTCATAGAGAAACCATTGATCACATTCATTAGGGCAATAGTCATATCAATGACTAACCACCTAAATTTTAGTGTTCTTCTCTTGTTCCATTTTGTGTTTGATCATGTTCATTGTTGCTTTCTCTTTGTTTGTGAATCATCATCGTTCATCTGGGTTTTTTCTAAGCAAAACTATACAATAAGGCCATTTATATTTGGTACATATAGGGCACAGTTAATCCTAACTATCAGTTGTGAAATTGGGGGGCTGACTTGTTCAACGGACTACGCTCAAAGTTCAAGAGAAATTGTTTTAGATTTTGACACATCCAAACTACTAAATTTCACATCTTATAGTTGTATGTCATCGTGACCTCTTTGCACCAAAGTAAATGATCTTATAGTATATAATTCATTTTCCAAACACAATTGGTTGAGGAAATATATGGTCGAAAGTATCCCTCTAGAAGCCATTTCTGTTGTAAGGCATCTTGCTTTGGAAATTTCTAGAAGTTTATAACTACAATCAACCCAACTAATCTACGAGGATATAGAATTGCATCAAAAATTAGGGGTGGCAATGGGTCAGGTCGGGTCTGGGTTCGGTCGGACCTGGACCCAGACCCGAAAAAATGATATTGGACCCAAATAGTGTTCAGGTCTAAGATTTAGACCTGAACCCAACCCAATTTGGACCCATATCCAGATCCAAACCGGGTCCGGGTCCGAGTCCATTGTCGCCCCTATCAAAATCTACCACTAGGTTTGGTTTTAGGGGTTGCCCTCTTGGCACATAGATTACAAAGCAAGTGGAAATGTTCATGTCCCATCAACCCACCTACGAAGATCACATGTGTGATTCTTCCTTTTATAGACAAAAATGATTATTTCATGTACTAAAACGATTTCTCTCTAAACAAAGCATCTATCATGTCTTCATGACAATGCATCATATGACCCTACCCACTTGAAGAGAAAAGAACTTCTCACCTGTTTTAATGCTTGTTTGTTTCTAATTTTTTCTTTGACAGTGAAATTTGGCTTAAGAAGTCTCCTCAAACTTTAAAAAAGAATGAAAGTGATATGTCAAAATATTTTTCTCGTCCTCAAAAAGTTACGAATGGGAAGAAAACAATGAGCGTTAGCCACTCGACAAATGTTAGATGGTCAAGTGACAATTGATCTTGGTTTGAAAATAAGCTGAATATTTGGGAGAAATGTGCATTTTGCTTGAAGGTTTCATTCGTAACTCTATTTGATAGCGACAGGAGCATATTGTACAACAACACCCTCGCACAGACTAGCTACTTGGGGAGATCTTTTTCCTTTTTTTTCAAATCCTGGGATCCATCTAAGTATCATTGTTTTCAAAGAATAAATAAATAAATTTTGAATTTTTGAACATCAAAATCTTTTCCTCAAAAAATTAGACAGTTTATGAACAATCTCCAAAACCGCACCAAGAATAAATTTTCTAATTTTGGACTAATATACCCTTGCTCCAACTTTTGAGCACTCAAAAAGCATGAAGTCCGCTCGCTCCCACTTTTAAATGTGCTTGTTAGACTACTATCAATTTGTTGTACTACCTTTCTTGTCTAATTTTTCTCAAAAAATAGTGCGACCCATCATTAACATATATTTTAAAGAAAGTCATCAAATTAGTCATAAGAGATGAATAATTTAATACATTACTTGTATTTTTATCTAATTTTAAAATACCCATTAAACAACCTTAAACAATCCAATTAAGACACACCTCCAAATTTTTATCATAGCATGTACGTTTGTTGTAAAACGAATTTAGTATTATCTTAAAATCTATTTTCATATCTAATTAGAAAATTTTAAACTCCAAAAATGGTTAAAATCAAGGAGATCTATAAACATATGAAAATCTTGAAAATGGACGGTCTAGATAATGTGTTGCAAGATGCACTATTCTGAAACTCAAAATTTTTTTTTTTTAAATTCATACATCTCGATGTCAAGATGATCAAATTGAAGATTTTTCAACATTAAAACAACCTTTCCGATAGATTTTTAAGGTGCATCTGTAATTCTTCATTTTAAGGTTACAACCTTATATAAACTTTTCTCTTAAAGAAAGTCATCAAATTAGTCATAAGAGATGAATAATTAAATACCCATTAAAAAACACATGGTCTGAGTGAGAATAGTTGCAATTGAACGAATTGTTAAATACCTCACGTTAAATGGGTATTTTGATCAATTTCCCTATATTTTGTCATACATAAAAAAACTCTCGTACGCTCTTGTACAAACAAAATGTCTAGGAGTAATCTTAGGGCTCTAAATTTCAGGAATGTGACCTACTCAGCTTAATTATCATCACCATCATAACTTTTTTTCAACTATTTAGGGTTGGTTGCACAAATCCTGATCCGTCATTTAGAATTCATGAAAAAATTTAGCAAAGTTTTGCACTATCTATCTACCTAACCCAACCCACCTGTGTTGCTCGGGCTTGGGACTGGTTAAGTCACACTTCTTAGACAAAAAAAAGTCATGCCCTATAAATGTAACCTAAAATAATCATGTCCTTGAATTGCACAGCCATTTTTTGGACGATTAGAGCTAGGTATTTAGGCACTCAAAACGTATTTTTCTTGAAAATACTCATTTCATGATCCCAAAGTGGGATCCATAGTTTCGATTAAGATAGATCCTTCTAAATAGGATCATCCCGAGGGAGTAAATGCTAATTTTGTACCTGTAAGAGCATAAATCATCATCATTATAGCCTTTTCCAATAACAATTTCTTTAATTTGGTGTTCCACAATTAAACAAAAACAATTTCCTTAATCTGGTGTTCCACAATTAAACAAAGGGCAAAGCCAGTCTTTCGCATTGGATATCAGACAAGGAAGCTGGATAAGAGTTTTGATCAGCATTAGAAAGGTCAACTCGGGCTGAGAACCCGGTCCAGGACTGAGGCGAGCCTCCCAAAAAATAAAAAGAAATGTAGGCTTAAAGTAAGATTAAGCAAAATACTCAAATGAGGTTAAAAAAGTAGTAAAAAAAAAATTTAAAAAAATCAACTTGTGACTAAAGATATTTTTAAAATAATCCAAAAACGATAGAAAAATATGAAAATATTCATAGCCAAAACAATTCCCAATCTTTGCCAACCTTTGCATTTTGTTACATTGGCAAGTATCATAGTACAAATTAAAACTCCTAATGAGTTTTGGTTTTTTGCAGAAATCATCAAAGTAAACATACGCTCCATTTTGGATGGATCCGTTAGAGAACAACTGGGGGCAATGGAATATTAAATAGAATTGGTATAAACTAATCCAGAACATACAGAAATACCCCAAGGTCAAGGTTATGGTTGGTAGTATCTCAAACATTGCTTGATTCTCAAGAATGTGCCGTGATTTAGATATCCTAAATTTCTGACGACATTTATTATACACTAATAAGTTCAGCGAGGATTTAACAGAGTTTGTACCTTTGAATTACCAAGGACAGTGAAAAAACTAAGGATAAAGTAAACAATGAGACCATTTACCTTTGGTACAAGGTGGTCACAATTAATCTTAACCATTGGATGTGAAATTGAGTGATTGCATTTTTATTGACAAAGCTTAAAGTTCTAAAGAAATGTTCTCAAACTGTGACAAATCCAAACTATCAGATTTCACATCGTATGGTTATAAATAATTGTGACCTCCTTGTACCGAAGGTAAATGATTTCATTGTATACAATCCCATATTTAAAAATTATTTCAAATATAGTAACAGCATATAGAGTTGAAATGAATGCAACAAATTTCCCAGAAGCAAAATATGCCTTCTCGAATGTCAATCATCCTTTGAATCAAATCACAACAATTGGTATAAAAGTTCCATGAGATGGGGGAAGAAGGCACCCATCAGGTCCTTGGGAGCACAATGACCTCTATATGGAAGGATAAAATTGATGGTGCCATTTCACCTTTCAAATAGTTTCATGATACAAACCATGCTGAATGGTCAGAATTCGGAAGTAGAAGGTGCCTAAGGTTTTTCATCACAACCAAATTCAAATTTGTTGAAGCACCTATGCACTTGCCTGAAGAGCCCTATCGAAACTCTCCTCGGCCATAGTGGTCCGCTTAATGAGCAAATGATCAGGATGCGACAGCTTCAGTTGGCTGCATGAACCCATAATAAATTTGATAAGACTAAATCTCCAATTTAAAACAATGAAATGCCAATAATCATAATTCGGATTATACCCGGAAACATGGATGTGAAATGAAAACACATGGAGATGAGACAATCACCACAAAAACAAAAGAAAAAGTATTTGAGATGACAGATATGGTCAGTCCATACAACAGTTGACCCCATATTGAGAACAGAAATTGAATGCGCCTGCCTGTGTGTGTATTACAGTACATATTTCGTGTACAGCATTCTTTCCTTGCAGGCGTGTGTGGATGGATGCATGTACACATGACTACACAGGTGTATTTGTTGCCCTGATTATTATGTTTTAGGTCTTCCTCCTTTTCATTTTTCTCTTATTGTACATCAAATATTACTTTGACCTTATCATTGATTAAAAAATAATGGTCATACATACTACCATTTTTTTGGAAATGTCAAAGTACAGAGCCTTTAGAGATTTGATGACTAAAGAACCTTTTCAGTCAGCTTCCACGTAGGGCACTGGATTTACTAAAACAAAAGAAGCTTTCATATAATTTATACCAAAACAAAGTATCAAAAGAAGGAACAAATCCTTGGCAGAAAAAAAGAAAAACAGGCTGAAACAAAATCCATTTGAAATTTGCAGCACAATGGGTTGTCTAGATAGCATGGAACATGAAGTTGAAATCCTTTTTTTCGTTCGTATCGCAAGGTCGACATGATCAATTGTTGGTTTTTTTTTAGTCAGAACAACGTTTTGGGATGGATATTTTAGGTGGATCTGACTTCAACATTACAAAGTTGAGATATAAACTTTTCCCAATGGAACAAATGCAGTAATGGTGTATCCAAAAGAACCGAATCATTAACTATGGTTAAAATTATGGTTATTTCTTTTTGAAATAATTCAGACTCTAAATTAGTCTTTGATCCACAATCACCGAAACGCTGAAAAGAATAACTACAATAAAAAAAATTTCTACTAAAAGTTCTACTTACCTTGAGCAGTCTATTGAAGTCTAATCTCGGCTTTTTTGCTATATGTTGCACGCCAAAATCAGTATTAACCGCGCTTTCTCTCCAATTGCAGAACCAGTCTGCAGAATCAACCCCTTGAACCATGATTATACTCAAGAAAATACTTTCAGAGTTCTCTTTCTTTTATCTGCAAAAGTCGATAGAAAGCACAAACGACTCTTTTACTACTTGGTTAAAAAAGAAGAAGCAAGGGAACCAGATAGAGGAGAGGCATAGATACTATGGATTTTCTCTTACAGCAGAGGATCAATCTTGTAAGGAAAGAGAAGATAGAGTAGATATATATGTAAATACGATCTCATTTCTTGAAATAATGGTGTGATTAATTTGAAATGTGCATTAATGATTCTTGACACGTTGCGACATGAGGGAATTTTGAATATTTTTTATTATTCAAAAAATATTGGTGGGTGCCTTGAGAGCGGGTGGAGGAGTGAGATGCGTAAGGTTATTAAGGATGAGAGAGAAAAAAAGAAGACGAGGTTTTAGAGAGAGAGAGATAATGCGGGATTTGGTTCTTTTATTTCATCGATTTAATCCTAACCGTTGAAATGCAAACTCATGCTTATCAACAAAAATCAAGAACTCGTACGGTTTGTTGATCCTACACCTTATTTGAATGGTTTTTTTATCCTACTTATCTTTATCCTTTTATTCTGGATGCGATTGAGTGCTAAGAGAAAGCGCATGTGTGTGAGCGCATGTGTGTGTTAAGAGTCTCTTAACACACACATGCGTTCTCTCTTAGCACTCAATCGCATCCAGAATAAAAGGATAAATATAAGTAGGATCAAGAAACCATTCAAATAAGGTGTAGGATCAACAAACCGTACAAGTTCTTGATTTTTGTTGACAAGCATGAGTTTGCATTTCAACGGTTGGGATTAAATCGATGAAATAAAAGAACCAAATCCCGCATTATCTCTCCCTCTAAAACCCCACCTCCTTTGTTTTCTCTCTCATCCTTAACAACCCAATGCATCTCTCTCCTCCACCCGCTCTCAAGGCACCCACCAATATTTTTTCGGAAAATAAAAAATATTCAAAATTCCCTCATGTCGCAACGTGTCAAGAATCATTAATATACATTTCAAATTAATCACCATTATTTCAAGAAATGAGATCGGATTTACATATATATCTACTCTATCTTCTCTTTTCTTACAAGATTGATCTTCTGCTGAAAGAGAAAATCCATAGTATCTATGCCTCTCCTCTATCTGGTTCTCTTGCTCCTTCTTTTTTAACCAAGTAGTAAAAGAGTCGATTGTGTTTTCCTTCAACTTTTGGAGATATAATAAAAAGAACTCTGAAAGTATTTTCTTGAGTATAATCATGGTTCAAGGGGTTGATTCTGCAGACTGGTTCTGCGATTGGAGAGAAAGCACGATTAATACTGATTTTGGCATGCAACATACCGCAAAAAAGCCGAGATTAGACTTCAATGGACTGCTCAAGGTACGTAGAACTCTTTAGTAGAAATTTTTTTTTTTGTAGTTCTTTTTTTCAGTGTTTCGATGATTGATGATCAAAGACTAATTTAGAATCCGAATTATTTTAGAAAGAAATAACCATAATTTTAACCATAGTTAATGATTCAGTTCTTTGGATACACCATTACTGCATCTGTTCCATTGGGAAAAATTTATATCCCAACTTTGTAATGCTGAAGTGAGATTCACCTAAAAATTCCATCCCAAAACGTTGTTCTGACTAAAAAAAAATCAACAATTGATCATATCGACCTCACGATACGAACGAAAAAAAGGATTTCAAATCATAAAGTAGGGCTTCATGTTCCATGCTATCTAAGCAACCCATTGTGCTGCAAATTTCAAATGGATTCTGTTTCAGCCCATTTTCCTTTTTTTTTGGCCAAGGATTTGTTCCTTCTTTTGATACTTTGTTTCGGTATAAATTATATGAAAGCTTCTTTTATTTTAGTAAATCCAGTGCCCTACATGATACCTTGATAACATTATACATCGTCTTATTGTGGAAGCTGAATGAAAAAGTTCTTTAGTCATAAAAAATTCTCTAAAGTTGCAATTACGCATGCTTTTCCTGGCAGGATAATTAGTACCGCATACTAGTGCCTCATCCAAGGATAAAAAATAAAAAGATGCTTCTAATGTTTCTTAAAAGAATATAAATTGATGTTATACCTGAGATAGCGAGAAGATGATTTCCCGAGGTGAAGACTGCAAACTACAAGATTAGCTAAGGTTTCTGCATCCCTGGCATCCTGAAGCAGTCAACAGCATCATTTCCTATTTCCGAGAGAGTGACAATTACAATGACAATGAATTTTTACAGATAAGAACTAGAGAATTGCTAAAAAGAAAAACTAGCCTTGTTGAGGGCCTCCAGCAAGAGAGACTCAGCTTCATCAAATCGTCCCATATGCATACAGCATACAGCTTTACCATTTAACATTGTACTCGTCAACTGATACCTGTCTGAGAAGTCCTGAAATATCAGATAGGCCTCCTGTATCTTGGAACCACCCTAATGTCAAGGAACAAAATGGTGAGCAGTTTTTCCCTTTTCTCTACGTTTTTGTGGGGAAATTCAAGACTGCACCTAGAACGCAGCACAAATGGTGCAGGTGGACTAGAAAATCTAAATATCAGGATAGAACTTTAACTTGTCAAAGTTTTTAAATAAGTAGTTTAACCCATCGTATTAAAAATTTCAGATAAACATGTTTTAAACAGAGAATAAAATAGTCATTTTAAACACTCCAAATCTCGATATTTGAAGTTTGGGGACCACTTGTGTGACCTATGCAGGTGTTCCACGATGTTGCCCTGATATTTTTCCTTATATGATCTGTAGTTTTGTCAATGGATAAATTGTAGAATCTTATAGCTTCAACTGCTTTGTATCATGAGGCTTACCACTGCCAAATTCAACCATGCATTTGCAAGTTGGGTAAGTGTGTGGTCTTCATCAATCTGTTGCATAATCTTTAATTGTTTGTCAGCATAATCAGATCTGTGCATTTTAAGGTATATTTGAACATTGACTGCATACCTGCAGCACAGAACAAACTCAGGTCAGGTCCATAAAACCATCTTTTTTTGGATGCTTAATAAAAACCATATTCCAATGCAAGGATCTCTCAATAATAGGCATTGAAATAAAGCAATTCAAATGATATAGTAGACACATTGGTACCATCATCTCATTCTTTAAGTCATACAGGAAAGAAATATTGATGCACATAAACATCCTTCCAAATGTGCAGTTTGAACTTTGTAGGACACAGCGGAAAGCAAATGATTCAGAAAAATTAACACTAAATATTCATGGTGAAAGAGTGATCTTGATGCACTTCCTGTGAGAGCAGATGGTTATAAAGCTCATGGAGGTAAGATTAGCATGGTCCACAGCAGGCAGTCCAAGGGAGGAAGGCAACCTGGGCTTGAGATTCTGTTAGAAAGTTGCCATATTTACATAATTAATTGGCTTTAGAAAGAAATAAACTCAAAAGTCGTGCTCTCCTAGAACATCTACATGTTGGGATGACAATCCATGCCTTACTTCGCCCCAATTTTGACCCTCAATTAGCATTGTCCAAAAGTATCCAAGCCAGTTAAGAACCCTCCATATGTGAAAAGTACCTCCTAATCCTTTGTTCATAATGCAATTTAGAATGTGGTCAGTGGTCCTCTAAACTAGATTGTCAGGCTAAGTCCTTGGAATGCAGTCAACAGAACATTGAGAATCACCATATAAGAAAGAAGACAAAATTGGAAAAAGAAAAGAAGGGCGTCGATAAAAGACAAAAAGAATGTCACCAAAGACTTTCAACCAATCTCATTTATTAGGAAAACCCATAAGAAAATGCCTGGATCCACCACCCCACAAAAAAAAGAAAAAAACAAACACCGGCCAAAACTCGCTTATTCCCAACGCTCTTGACCTGATGGTCCAAGAAAGAGAGAAGCAAGAAGGTGAGGAGGCACGTGCTACCCCAAGAAGAAGACAGGATAGGTAATGACAAAAACTTTGAGCAGGCCACTATCAGAGGGAACCACGAGAGAGAGAGAGAGAGAGAGAGAGAGAGAGAGAGAGAGAGAGAGAGACGAGAGAGAGAGAGAGAGAGAGAGAGACG